ATGAGTTTTGTTCTTGCACAGTCTTACATGATCCTTCATTTGTATATTAAAAGATTCTTTCAACGATCTTCGAAATTGTATCATTAAGTGCAGACTCTCTGTCTAATTCTACTAAAATTCCTGCTTCCAGATATCTGAAGCAAACTAGCAGATTCGTTCGAAGATCTTTTTGAGATTGTATCATTAGGTGCAGATTTTTCTGTTTAATTCTACTAAAATTTCCTCCTTCAGGTATCTCAGGCAAACCAGCTGCTTCCGGATCTATGATTTCTAATAAATTTTTTCTAGTTCTGTTAATTTAAGAATCTTTGGTGGTCCTCCGCCTGTACGCCAGCAGTAACTTTATTTGGGCGCATTTTTTAATACATTTGATTTCCAGTCCTCCATGTCTACATTTATATAAAACACGCAATTTTTTAGAAGTCCATTCTATAACAATTACCAATAATGTAAGCCTGTTGTAATTGCTACGCATGCTTTTCAACATTTAATAAAATATGCACAACAATTACATACAAAGCTTACAGTTATTAGTAACAGAATAGGCTTCTTATTAATCATACTAGTGTAAATATAAAAGGCCTATTCTGTAACATTAGTTAGCAATAACTGTAACTTCTGTATATCGTTGCACACAGCGATTATATACAGAGCTTACATTATTGGTAATCAGAATTACAGAATTGATTATTACAGAATGATCGTTAAATGTTATTCTGATCACTTAATAAGACATTATAATTCTTTTATAAATACCTTTTGCCATTCTTTGGCTTGCTTTTGCGGTCCATTTCTAGTAGCATTTAATGATTGGCTTATGGCAGTCCACATATCATCCTGTGTAAATAAAATTTATTATTATTAATATCTATATTATTATAATTTATATATATATTATAATAAAATACAATGACATTGACGATAAGAATTTCGATGTATATATTAATTTATAGATAATATGATACACACTTACTAATATTTTCTTATTGCCACTATTATATCTCAAGCGGCCTCTTGCAAAATCCTCGTTTTTTCATGTAGCTTAATAATATTTTTTTTGCTTTTCGGTAACGTTCATGATTAATTTAATTTTTAACCTCACACTTCTAACACTATCGGCGGTCTCGGCGAATCTGTCTTGTGAAAATGTGAGATTACTAGACCGGAAATGCCTAGTTATTTCACATTTTCACTCGACAGTTTCATAATTGGGTGATCAAAATCACGTGAAATGATAATGCAAAAAGTGAGTAAAATTCACTCAAAAACCGTAATAGGCCCCAGTTTGCAATGGATAATTTTTAATACAATTCTACATGGGTTTGCAATGGTTAATTTTTCATAGGATTCCACATAGGTTTGCAATGGGTACGATTCTACATGGGTTTGCAATGGTTAATTTTGCCTAGGATTCTACATGGGTTTGCAATGATTAATTTTTCATAGGATTCTACATGGGTTTGCAATAGGATAGGATTCTACATGGGTTTGCAATAAATAATTTTTGTTAATGGCGTGCCCTTAACTGGTCGCCTTTTTTTACCTTTTTTAAAGGTGAGTTTTTAGAGATTATATCATTCATTTTTGTATATGATAAGCATCTTTACATAAATAAGCAAAGAACCCGCCACCACCCCCGTCATATTTCAAAATACGATGGTCCTCTTTGCTTATTATAGATAAAAATAATTATCTTGTATTTTAAATAAAAAATATTTTTTTGCACTTCACGAATAATGCAGAATGTAAAGCGTTGTCATGAAATTGCTAATATATTACGAAATCTTTTTTTATATAGGACTGATTGAAATACAATATTAAATGATTAAATAGTAATAGTCATAAACTTGATATTATAAAAATCTATTTAGGAAGAATTTTATAACTACTTTATTTTATATCGAATTGGTATTATTTATTACCTATTTTTTGTAAAAATATTATATAAACATTTTTAGCACCTCTAGGCCACTGTCTCTTTTTTACTTCTGCATCATCTATTTCGATCCAAATATTAGATAGTCCTTCTCTACATATGCTTACATAATGACCTTCATCGGTGCACGAACTATCATAAAGTATAGCACTCATCGTCTTGTACAATTGTCCCGCTATTAATACTTTAGTTGTTGGAACAGCACATAAATTAAATTTGTTTTCTGCTTTTATTAATTTACCATCTTGTGCTAAAAATAGTATTAAACGAATAACAATTATTTCTCTTGTTAATGTTACTTCATTTTTTAATATTTGATCAGTTCCAGTACAATATTCACATGATTCGTTGTGTAAGTGAAAATGTAGAATTTAATAATTTATTAAGATTACAACTTTTTTTCTTTAAATTATCAAGGGAAATTGAAATAGCAATATTATTTTCAACAATAGTTTTTGTATTACCACATGTTTTGCATCGCTTGGTAGAAGTTACTTGATGTTGTATCAAATTTGTAATGCAATCATATTTTTCGCAAAGTGCCGTAAGAAAATCGTACGCGTTTTGTCTTACCATACTCGAAAAATATTCTCCTAAACATTGCCGTATTGCATATGTATTTAGATTACGCATTCCATTTTCATATCGATGCATTAATATACGTAAAACGTCTGTTTTATCGCAATTAATCAACTGCTGCCTAATAATATTTAAATGTAATAAACATTGCAATACTGTATTTGCATAACATGAAATCTTGTCTGTATTCTGAAAACCACGTATGATCCAAGCAGTGCTTTAATTCTTTTATTTGAAACCGTATGTTGAATTTTTCGATCTGAATTTGATTTTTGAACAGAAGTAACTATTTTTGGTAACGCCCATGGAACATCTTTTATTTTACGACAACGTTCTTTTGACACAGCAATCATTTCTGCTTTCGGATTGTATATCTGTTTTAAACGATTATATTCAATAATAACTTTTTCGTTAGCTATTACTGCTGAAGGATCAAAGTTTATTAAATGCACTCCTTCTAGAGATGTTACTCGCGACAAGGCAACATAAATTTGACCACAACTAAATACAGAGTTGCCAATATCCATAACAACACTTTGCAAACTTAATCCTTGGCTTTTATGAATAGTGATGCCATAACTTAAAGATAATGGAAATTGTTTTCGAATCACATACGCTCTATCCAATACCTGAAATTTAGCCGTTACTCTTTCAATTTCATATTCTAAACCTGATGGTAAAAGAAGTTTAATCTTTTCTACGTCATCAGTAGATGTTTCTCGTACAATTGAAATTACTTTAGCAATTGTACCGTTTACAAGACCCAAACTGGCATCGATGTTACGCCGAATCATAACTTTTGCTCCAATTTTAATTGTAATTTGTTTTGAAAGTCCAGCTGTTCGAGAACTATCATCATCGTTATTTGACAATACTTTTAATACTTTCTTTTTTACATATGATGTACAATCAATCGTATCTTCAGCAATTAATAATATTTCTTTGGAAGTAATGCGACTTAACATTGCATTATTGACATCACACATATTACAAGTAGGAAATAAACAAACAGTGTCCGATGATAAACTGTTAATAAAATCACATAATTCATTTAATCTAGATTCGAAAGAATCAGCTTTGAAAGATATTTTTCTACTCTCTAGAATTTTACAATCAGATTTTGTCACTAAACCAATACGAATTCGCGACAATAATTCACGGTATGAATTATCTCCTTGCTGACGCATATTGATTATCAATTCATCATATTCAAATAATGTAATCCATAAATTAACAGCATTTAAAGAACCAAGATAATTAGCAATTTTTTGATCGGATAAATGTGTAAAGATAAGATCTTCGCGTACAGGAGGCAATTGAAGCAAGTCTCCGAATAAAAGAATATGCTTTCGACCAAACCAACCATCATCGCAATCACTAGTATCAAATATCTCAGACAATCGAAGATGAATATATATTAAAGTCAAATTAGATATCATTGACACTTCATCAATTACGAAAAGAATAACATCTTTAAGATCTGTTCGTAAAACTTTTAATACACAATCAGATAATTGTTTATACTTATGAGTTTGACCATGTTCAACGGGTAATTGAAGCAATCTATGAACTGTCAAACCATCTATATTAAATGCTGCTATACCAGTAGGTGCTGTTACAGCAGTATCTTTGTTGAGATTTTGTTTTATCCAGCATTTAATAGTCTTGATTAAGAAACTTTTTCCAGTACCACCTTCTCCGCTAACATATAATCGTAATATTGATTTATCGGACTCTACAGCATTGGTAACTTTATCAAATACTCGTTTTTGATCCGTATTTAATTTTACTATCATGTCAGATACATCAATTTCTTGAATTGCTCTATCACCAAGATCTTTAAAATCTTGCATTGCTTCACCAGCCTCTATATTTTGAATACCTATTGCATTTTCAGGATCATCCTGAGACTGCTCTTTTTGCAAATCGTCATCTAAGCATTGCTGAACTAACTGTTTTGCAGTTTCAAATGCTTTTTGCAATTCTTCTAATCTTTCATGATATTGCAATGCTTCTTTAAGATGCAGTTTTACTTTGTGAAACGATTCGGTATAAGTATCGCATTCATTTTTAAGATCCTCTAATTTTCGCCATGGTTTAAACATAAGCAATAACGCAAAGAAATAATTTTCCGGCTGTGTATTAACATTATATCTAAAATGATTAATAAGATATCCGCGCTGTCGCCGTTTAAGATAACAACCATTACCTATTTTATAATATTCAATAAACTTATTTTTCGGTTTGATCTTTGAGATATCGTACCACTGTGCAAATTCATAAAGAGACGTATTTTCTAATTCGTTTGGTCTATGTGGATAATGATCATCTGTCAAAGATTGATAAAATATATCTGTAGATTCAGGATCAAGAGCTTCAATTTCTTTACGACTTTTTAATTTTTTATATCGTATTTGATTAACATCTAACCATCTGATGGTTGTATTTCGATCAGTTCCATACAAAGGAATACCTAACAATGTATCAGCAGCTTCGAGAGCTCCACATTCTCTATTATTCGTAAATCGCAAAGCAATATTCCAAAGATGACTCGCTAATGATTTGTTTTTGTTATCCTTACTATCAAGAATATTCTCAGATAATTCACTTTTTCCCGCTTTATTCATATATTTAGTAACATACCAGGTTAGCAGCGATGATTTTTCACCAATAAATTGTATATCCATATTACCTTCCCATGCAGTAAGAAGAACAGGATTATAGTCATTTATATTACCTTCATTATCCGTTCGAGGAAGATCGTAAAGTCTACTTTTATGTTTCAATTGTTTTCTACCGGCTATCGAAGTTGCCACATCCCTGATATTCAAAGTTTCAGTAACGGGACGAGGAAATCCAAAACGACATCGACGAATAACTTTACGTCCTACTTTTTTAGAACGAAGACAATAATCATTATGTATATGTCGCTGATGCGTATCAACACGTCTGTACAACAATGGCGAAATATTTTGATCCGGTATTGTGCAGCTTATATGTTGTGAAATAAATTTTGAAACTTCCTCAATAGTAGATTCACCGAAAATTGGTGCATTTTTAATCCAAATTAATAAGTGAAAATGTTGTATACCTCTACCTTGATATTCTCGTCGCCAGAAATAGTGCGTTACTTCTCCAATTGGATGATCTTTAGACCTAATAAAGTCAAGCATTGCCCGAAACTTATTATCGAGAAACCTGGATGTTGATACTGGATCTCTAACAACGAGTGCGCTAACGCTTAAGGAAGCGTCATGCCATTCATTTACTTCACGAATATATTCACCTAAATCTTCCCACAACCACTCACTTGGACTGAGTGTTAAAAACCATGTCGCAGGTCCATAATGCTGCGTCATACAATTTAAATCGTTTCTCGGTTTACACCAATATTGCTCCGTATTTCGAAGTGTGGCAAATATTGTACTCAAATTAGATTCCAACAATTCTTTCGACATTGCGTCTAGGTATTCTGCGGCTGTATAACGAAGTCGCGGATTAGTTACATTCATTTTATGAAAAATTCCACGACTTAATTGACGCATATTTGCATCGTTCAATAAATAAAATACATATTGTAGATTTAATCTATACTGTGGATGTTTAGATGTCAAACGACATTTAATAAATTCATGATCATGAAGTTTAACTTGTCTAATCTCACGTTGTCCATTAATACCAGAAGAATATAAATCTGGAAAACACATTAAATCTAAATGTTGCTCACGATTGTTCAGAGGCAAATCCTGAATTTTTAACATTTGATATAAAGCTGTCGCAGTTTTATTTGCTTTCTTTTCATATAAGGGATAGATGGTATATTGTTCGTAATAGCCATCATTTTCAGCATTAGTCACTTGAGTCAACATTGCTTTCCGTTGACCTTCTAACATATCATTTTTTATCTCTTCTATCGGATCATTTAATAATTCAGTCTCATCATCAGCTACTTCTGCATTACCTTCTGTCTCATTTAATAATTCAGTCTCATCATCAGCTACTTCTACATTATCTTCTGTCTCATTTAATAATTCAGTCTCATCATCAGCTATTTCTGCATTAACTTCTGTCTCATCTTCTATTTGAAATTCTAAATTTTTTAATTTTGGTAAACGTAAATCATTGTAATCATTTGGCAATATAATATGAGAATATAAAGTATTGTTGCGCTTTAACCAAAGCGTCAAATATTTTTTTAACATCAACTACCTCTTCCCAAATAATCTTTGATTTTGTCGGGATACCTCTAACTAATATATATAACTCATGATTAATATTTATTGGATCAGTATTAGAACATAATTTATTCAATGTCTCCTGTAACGGAAGTGGTAAATGAAATGTTCTATTTTAACTTTGATACCATTTGTCTTTGAGGCAACTTTTTATTAATAACAGTTCCCATTTTAAGGACAGTTTGAAACGCTTTAGCTCTCTGTATAAGAATTTTTTCGAATGTATTAAGAGATGATATTACTTCAGGCACCTGATTTGTAAATAGATTATTTAAGACGCAGTATGCAGGCATTAAACCTTTACGAAATTTGCCTGCACAATAATTACATATATATTGCGCATCAACTTTTTGTTGTTGTACATACGTCATTAAATCCTTCAAAATTTTAACATGTACTTGTGTCTGAAGACTATTGACTTTAGAAACACTTTTTTTATAACACAATCTCTCGCATGATACGCAAACATGTCGTGGTGTCCACAGAGCGTTCAGTCAATGCTTTAAATGCTAAACGATATTTAAACATAATATCATCATCACTCAAAATTGTATCAATCCGTTGATGTCTGTACATATCTACTTTCTCCTGTGCAGAAGTCACAATTTCATTCAAAGTATTCATATCAGCATTATTTAAAGCATCATCTAGATTTTCCAACTTTCGATAAAAATATATAAGTTGATAAATTAAACGCTTCATATATCTTACTTTTGGAAAATGAGGCGATAATAATTGAACTGGAAGAAACCTTCCTTCGCAAAGTGTTATATCAATATAACAGCTACGCGTATGACCCAATTTCTCATTTGAAATTTTCATTGTACATTTATGAATATTTTGCATAAGTTTTGGTACATTTTTTAAAGTACATGTATTTACGGTTTCGAGAAACTTCTGATAACGATCAATTAAAAGCGGATCGTTAATTTTACAGCTTGCAGTATTACACATCAGTTTTGGTTCATTGTTTAAGGTACATGTATTTATGGTTTTAAGAGACTTCTGAGAACGGTCAATTAAAAGCCGATTGTTAGTTTTATAGTCTGAAATATTACACGACCAAGATTTTTTAGCTTGTTCTGTTGTTAATGGTAATATGTTTACTACTTTTCCTTTTACATTCATTATCAAAGGTTCCAATGGATTTACATCATGACGATATGTAGACTCAATAAAATAATTTTCAGATGAGGCTGTATGTCTAGATTCGCCACATAGTGCAGTTAATTTGTCTTCGATTGTAGAACAATCTGCGACAAGAGTCAAATACACTTCTGATTTCTTTTTAATCAAACTTAACATTTTGTATATATTGCGAATATAATTTTTCCTAATACACATGCACCAACGTACAATTTTTTCAGCTTTCAATCGTTTCTCAATATAACCTTTAATATTGATTTTTTCAATAATATTTTTTATAAATATTTCTGAACAATTACGAAGTTTTATGGTATTCTTCGACCAGAATTGTTTATACTTTTTAGTAATTTTTTTAGCAATATTGCAAGTTTTTATTTTAAATGTAGATTTTGTTTTGATTTTTTGTCTTTTTGTCTGATAATATCGCTTATTATAAAGCCATTTGCGATTAGGATCCAATCTTTTTTGTCTATCTCGTTCATACTCAAAGTTTTCCGAATAACGCATACGCTTTTGTGCGCGTTTCTTTTGTAAATCTTGTTCATATCGATATTGATCTTTAATGCGTTCATCTTCTAAGTTCCGTTGATATCGATTACGCTTTTTAGCGCGATTGTATTCTAAATTTTGTTTATAACGATTACACTGTTTAGCGCGATTATCTTTTAAATTTCGTCTATATCGATTGCGCTGTTTAGCGCGATTGTCTTCTATATTTTGTTTATAACGATCACGTCGTTTAGCGCGTCTATCTTCTAAGCTCTGTTTATACAGATCGTGCTGTTCAATGCAATTATTCTTGGAATTTTGCTCATATAAATCATGTTGTTTAGCCTGATTTTGTTCTAAATCTTGTGAATAGCGTGCACGTTTATTTACACAATGATTTTCCAAGTCATGCTGCTTAGTTTCTTCATAAATATCATTGTTTGTTTTCATTAAATTCTTTGAGTTATTTTCTGTTAATTGAAATTGATTATTATTTAATTCTTCTTCAAGTTGGTAAATATGACGTTGCTCTTCTAACCGATTCAAATATGGTCGTTCCGTCTCACATTGACGTATAGTACGTTTACGAGATGCTTCAATCTCTCTTGCTTTTATTACTGCTAATGGAAGCACCTTTTGAAGAGCATATTGTTGATTTTGTGGAAAATGCTCAATAACATTAGATTCAAAAATCTTAATTAAATGCAAACGCATTAAACTATGATCATATTTTATTTTTTCAGGTTTAATATTAAATAACAATGAAATTGCAAAGGCTATTGCAAAAACTCCGCAATCGCTACTATTTGGTTGGTATTGTACAGTAGGAAATTGGATAGAATTTTTTTCGAAGTTATATGTTGGAAATAATCTTTTCAAGAATTGTTCATGATGTCTATGCAATTTTTTCTTATTTAATGAATCATAAATAAATATATTTTTTGTATCGTAGTAACTGCACACCCAATGTCCATCTGATGAACCTGACGAACTATGTAATATTTGTATATGTTTTTTATCAATTGGCATAGGCTGAATCGTATCAGGAAGTTGTAATCGCCATGTTTCGACAGGTCTATAATCTGAAAAATTTTGTAATAAATAATCAAAATGTTCCATATGTTTATCAGTTAACCATTCACCTCGAACAATTATATTTTTATCCTCAGGAGATAAAATTCTATATCTTTTTGTCTGTATAGACATTTTTATTATTTATATATATTTTTTTGAAATACGTAATAATTTATCGGCGCAAAGCAGCCACTCTTTATTGGTGCAAAGCAGCCACTCTTTATAGGCGCACAGCAGCTCCTTTTCATAGGCGCACAGCAGCCTTGTATGAGCGCACAGCAGCCACTTTTTATAGACGCACAGCAGCCACTCTTTATAGGCGCACAGCAGCCACTCTTTATAAGCGCACAGCAGCCACTTTTTTTTAGGCGCACAGCAGCCTTGTACGGGCGCACAGCAGCCGTTTCTTTTACAAACACAACAGGCGCACAGCAGCCTTATAATTTTTTTCTTTTCTTATTTCTTTATCTTCTTTTCTTCTTTCTCAATCTTCTTTTCTTCTTTCTTGATCTTCTTTTCTTCTTTCTTGATCTTCTTTTTGATAAATTTTAATCCGAAGATTAAAATGACCTACCCTGTATATTATAATTATACATTTCAATATCATTTGTAATTTCTCAAAATCTAAAAGTTTAAGACAAAAATGTTTCAGATAAAAGTTGTATGGTTTCAAGGGGGACATAAGATGATGTCATTGATTTAACTTTGAATAGCCATTTGAAGGTTATGTGAAGGTCAACTTCAATTTCTTAAATGGAACACTATATTTTTTCTTGCATACTTTTGTAGCTGACTTCGAGATCTTTCCAAAACAATACAATGAAATATTTTTTCATTAAGTATTTTTCGAGTTATCAAGGCTGCAAATTTGCAGTATTTTGACATAAAATACAAAATATCTTGAGAAATATTCATTTTTCTATTATCATACCTTAATACTTTTATGCACAGAATAATGAGATGAATCAGATGGTGTAAAGAAAACACATAGTTACCTTTAAAAAAAATATGAAAATTGCAATAAGCAGTTAAATAATTTTTCTTTAAGACAACTATGCGTTTTCTTTACACCAACTGATTCGTCTCATTATTCTGTGCATAAAAGTATTAAGGTATGATAATTGAAAAATGAATATTTCCCAAGATATTTTGTATTTTATGTCAAAATACTGCAAATTTCCAGCCTTAATAACTCAAAAAATACTTAATAAAAAAATATTTTATTGTAGTGTTTTGGAAAGATTTCGAAGTCAACTACAAAAGTATGCAAGAAAAAATATAGTGTTCCCTTTAAGAAATTAAACTGACTTTCACGTAACCTTCAAATGGCTATTCAAGGTCAAATCAATGACACCATCTCATGTCCCCCTTGAAATCATACAACTTTTATCTGAAACATTTTTGGCTTGATCTTTTGGATTTTGAGAAATTTTAGTACGAAGATTAAAATGGCCTACCATGTATATGTATATATATATATATATATATATATATGATATATAATATATAATATTATTATTTACCACACAAGTCGAAACAAGCATCTGTCTATCTTTATTCTCGGAGAATGGAGAAACAAAGATAGAATCACGCTTGTGACTTGTGTTGCTAAATAAAACACATCTTATACCTTTTTGGTATGTCGATCTCTTCTGTCTCTCTCTTTCTTTCTTTCTATCTTTTCTCTTCTTCCCTTTCTCCCTTTCTCTCTCTTTCTCGACTGCCCAACAGCTGGCTAAATATACAGCAAATACATAACATCAAGTTAATAATACGTTTAAAAATGAAATAGTATAATATATATTAGTATATATATATATATATATATATATATATACATATATATATAATATATATATATATATATATATAGATATATTTATATATAATAATATATTAAATATATATTTTATATTTATATACAACAAAAAATATAATCATATATATGTATATATATATATATATTTACATATATATAATCATATACACACACACATAAATATATTTATATATTATTATATATATATATATATATATATATATAATATTATTATTTACCTTATTCTTTATAAAATTTCTGCAAAATTTACACTCTTTCAACACCTTAACCAATTTTGACTTAAAACTGTCAAAATTATTTTGACAACCAAACACTTCGAAGCATGCGGCACAATGTGTGATCAGTTATCGTTACCTAGGTAACTATACATTGCAATCAACATTTTTATGTTATCAAGTTGACGCTGCGATCTCGGACG